ATATTTGATAAAATTTACTCTTACGTAGGTACGGTAGGTAAATTTGATGCAACGGCACAGCTACAACACGTCTCTGAATTTGCTTTCTACTACTTTGAACAATGTCAACAAACTTGCATTACAAATGGGTTTAATAAAGGTATCCAACGGGAACTGTATGTATATATATATATATATATATATGTAATACAAAAATAATAAATACTTTTGTATTAATTAAAACTCTTTCGGTTTCATAAAATGTCTTTGTTAAAGAGTAAGCGTAGAGCTATTCTATTTTGGGAATTCAAGGCTGAAAACATACCATTGAATAATAATTAGATTTCAAAAAAAGTCAACAACGAAAAAAGAAAAGTTAAAGATGTTTAAAAAAAAAGTAAACATCGAAAAAAGAAAAGATGTTTCAGTAAAAGTAAGCATCGAAAAAATGAAAGTTAAGGATGTTTCACTAAAAGTAAGCATCGGAAAAAAAAAGAAAGAATGTCCAAAAAGTTCAAATGATTCGAAGAAAAATCTAGGTAATGGATGCGTTCATTATCTGGTTAATATCGACGAAAAAATATGTAAAGGGTAACAAAAACAAAAACGAAAAATAAAAGGAAAAATAGGAAAAAGAAAGAATGACCAAGAAACTAACAACAAAAATAAAAATAATCCTGTCGCTTGTAATAACAGGGCTACATCTCTGTTATCATTGGTGTATTCATACTAAGAAAATGCAGTCAAAACCATAATAAGTTGTCAAAAGGTTTATTAAAAGATATGCTGGTGGTTATAACATTTCGCATCCGCCCTCCCCGAGGGAAGGGGAGTGGACGTAACTCTGGGTGGTTCAAATGGATGTTTTGTGGAACACGTTTGTTCAGCAAGAGACATGCGAAAACAATCCGTCTCACATTAAATACTACAGAGATTGGTGTAATTAGGTTACAGTCGTACATGCCATTGTAACTCTACGCACTATGGAAAATCATTTAATGCTTCCTAATNAGCGTTTATTCTAATTATTTTATTCTTATATTCTCATTTTGGAAAGTAAATAAAACAATATCAATTATGTAGGATATTAAATGATAAGAAAATTACTGTTGAAATAAACATTGTTATAAAAAATTTATTAATTTCGAATCATTATATTTTCGAATAACTTTTATTGCTTTTAAAAACCTGTTTATGGTAAGGTAATGTCTTTTCTTTCTTTTTTCTCTTGAGCAGAAAAATAAATTTCCAGTATCAAAGAACATTTATATTCTGAATTTAGATATTCTCCTGTCTGGAGTAACTTGATCGGCAAGTGTTTGGGGAGATTATCTCGTTTTCAGGTTTCTCACGTATTTTTCTGGTTTACACGAAGTTGACCAATGAAGCTGTTAGAAGCCTCACACCATGCTAGAAAGTGAACGTGACTTTTGTATTAGAGGCTTCTATATGTGCAGCGGGCTACATTGCTGCTCTTTCGAATTTTATAAGCTCTCTTCTGTTGTCACATAAAGAAACTTATAAGAGTATATCTCAAAATAGATTTTTTAAAAATATTTAATGTTAATCACTAAGTTTTTGTAAGACATAAGTATCCTGTTTACAGTTTTATTTAATAAAATGAAGTAAGAAGATTTTCCGAATTGAGAGAGGCTCAATTTAACCCTAATTAAGGAATGAGTGTAAAAGTTTTAACTGAAGCAGAATGTTTGCAAACATTATTTGTTTATGAAGGAAGAAGGGGAGAACGATGAAAATAAAAATGACTTAAATTTTATTTTTCTTCTTTTTATTAAGAGGGAACGATTTTCGTTTTATAAAATTCTATAACATTTTGTTAAAAAAACTTTTAATGATATTTGAAATAAATTGATGAGAAAGTTCCAGTTACAAAAATACTTCTGTTAATAATAAAAATTTGTTCGTTTTTCTAATGTAACCGATCTTTAAAGTAGTTCCAGTCAGCTATTTTCTTTCTTATTGAGGAATTTATTATTTAATAAAAAAAGAAACTATAATAAACTTCTATGTAAAATACCGGGGTCCTATTTTTCACAAAGAATTAACGCACATCAACTTTGGAGGGATGCACTGTAGAAAATTTCGGATCAATTTACAATATGAATTACCAGTACTTTGGGTGCATGCTCCAAATAATCTCTTTTACCTTAAAATCCATCTTTACCATAAAATGTATAACCGTAGTTTTAATAAAAATATTTATTTAGTTTGAGTAATTCAGTGATTTTATGGTAATTATTATTGTAATAAAAAAATTGCGGTATATAAGATTTTTGTTCCTAAATATATTTCGGTAAAAATGGACTTTGGAGTAAACAGTACTGCCACCTTGAGTGTCGGTAATTGTGTACTAGATGATTTGGAAAATGAATGCAACTGGTGCCAAATTCTGACCCATTATTGCTAATTACCATTGGTCACAAACTCGTGGAGTCGTAAATTTTTGAGACCCCCTTTGATTTAGATTTAACTTTGCTCTTAAATCCCTCGATAACGGATTGTTTCCTGAGTATAATATTTTATCTTTCATTGATTGATGTTTACTTTATTTCCTTTATTTCTCTTTAAAAATTATATTTTTAACAGATGACAGTTTTTTTTTTCATCTTTTTTTTTTTAATTGGCAAAAATGGCGAGTTTTGAAGTTTTTGATTTGCGCTTATTTTTAGGTACATATAACTTTATGAAATGCCGAGTTAGCTTGAAGTAACTTTTTTAACTTGGCTTAACCAAGCTCAGTTGAAATTAACTAACCTTAAACCTCCTTCTTTTTAATAAAGTTTACAGGCCCCAATTCAATCACAAAATATAAAAATGCAAAAAAAAAAAATAATAATAATAAATAAATAGTTAAAAAATAGAAATGAAATTAAAAAATGAGAACATTTAAAAATCGTAGTACAGAAAATCTGATAATTGTCCAAACAACAGAGGATTTTACCTGGAAAAATGAACGGGAGTTTTCATACTATGAGTACTTATATTTTTTGGGGTGTTGAACACGAACCCGCCCTTTTCGACCAAAATTTATTTCCGGAAAATGTGTTTTTCTTTGAAAAAAGTGGAAATTTTTTTCGATTGGAAATTTCTGATGACGTATTTGAAAACTGGAAAAAATTTCTTACAAAATCTATGTTTACATTTTGTCCGTACGTAATAAATCTATGAATTACGTTCTCGGAAAAAGTGACTATTGCCCTGGAATCTCTCTCAGTACTTCAAAAGAAAAATTTTGGAGAAACAACTCAATCTCTATTAAAACTAATTAATCTCTAAATTAACCATCATAAATTTACCCCCAGTTCATTTCCTTTACCTCCTTTATCCCCTTTTCTATTCCTCTATTTTCCACTCCTAATAACCATAATTTGCTTAAAATAGCCCTTATTAATATGATTTTCAGTCTTTTTCTTTCAATTTTTAGCCATATAAATTTTAGAATCTTACATTTTTTTTCTCTTTAGTGATAGGAAGTATGTTTTTCTTCCTTTCATATCAAGACCTGACGAAAGAATTTTTATAAAATTTCAAATCTCTATTGGTTATTCTCTCCAAGTTTTCCTTTGAAGAGACACCATTTCAGTGGAATAGTCACTTTTTCCGCGCTCGTAATTCTTTAATTTTTTACCCTACGGGCTAAATGTAAAAGTATAGATTTTATGAGAAATTATCTCTGGTTTTCAAATATGTCATCAGAATCTTTTCTATTCTAAATTAAAAAATAGTTATTGGTAAAAACCAGATTTTTCGCGGGAAAAGACATATACCCCGGAAATTTTTTTTTGTCGCAAAATGCGGGTTCATATTCAGTACCTCAATAAGTATGTAAGAAATAAAATCTCCCACTTACTTTTCCAGCTAACGTCACTTTTTGAGCTCTATTGCCTGCACTTATTAAGGATTATATTTTAAAATCGTAGTAATTCAAATTTTCGTTTATATTCTGACATCTCTTTCGCATAAAAAAACTATTATTGCCCATTGGAAAAATGGGTGTTGTTTTGGGTTTGATGGCGTTATTTGGAAGTCATCAAACTTTTCAACTGTGTTGAAGAGTAACAGTAAACAGTTCGCATGCGTCGTCATTGCATGCGTTGCTATGGCGACCGCTACTGTTTGATAATTTTTTTAGAATTCTTTTTTTCACTTTTAATTTTGTTATGCATTAAGTTGGTGAGTTTATTATTATTATTTTTTTTTTTGAGGATTTGAAATGGGAGATATGGAATAAATTTTGGTTAAAAAATATTTTCATATCTCTAAGTTTAAAATAGACGAAATAATTTATAAAGAAACTTTAAATTATTACATTTTCTGTATATACATTGACTTCACCACCTCTCATAGAGAACAAAACATCGTAGGTTTCAAATGAGTTGAATCTTATAGCCCCAGAAAGGTCTCAGAAATGTAATCTTGCAAAAGTTTCATTTTGGTTGACGAAGAAATATTTATGGGATGTTATTTTTGAAATATTTCTGTGATGTTATTTATGGGATATCTGAAACATTTACGAAATATTTCATTAACACTTTCGTTGCAGTGGACATTTTGATTTTCAGTGGCTAATAGAAATTGTTTCTGTGACTTTTTTAAACGCTTTCAAATTACACTTTTTTCAAACATTTAAAACATATCCAGACCGTAATTTGGATGTTTTACCTTACATGAGATAGATTTGATTTTCATTTTGAATGATTTATTTAAATTGTTTTCAATTAAATTTTTGATTAAAAGAGTACATATGTAAGCAATTTAGCAAGGGCATAAAAATTAGGAATTTTAATTAAATTTTTTATACCAAATTTGCCACCTAGAATTTGAAGCATAATCATTTTAAAATATATATATTTAAAAGTTGCTAGATAATTATACCGCATGTAGAGTCTAATATAAACAAATGCAATTTCTTTTACTCCACTTCTATGTTTTTGCTTTTATTTAATTTTTGTTAGAAAAAAATGCACATCTGAGCAAATCAAACAGGGTATAAATGATTCTTTACTTTTATTTTTGTTTTTAGTTAAATTCCTGATAAAAAAATTTTTTTTTTGAACAATTTAACCTGGGCATAAATAGCTAGGAATTTTAATAAGAGTTTTCTTAACCATCTTACTTTCTATAATTTGAAGCATAATCATCTAAATGTTTAAATAGCTAGATTGATAAACCATGCACAAAGTCAGCCCATATACTCTTATGCAGCTTTTTTATTTCTCCGAATCCATTAATCTCAAAGTTTTTTCCTAAAAAAAGAACAAAAAAGAAATGTCTTAAGACTGAAGACAGAAAAACCATAGATTATACATCCCCCTATAGCCATTTTCAGAAAAATCAGGCCATAAAACAGCAGACGGGGAAAAATAAATAGCAAAAAGGAGAGTTAATGATAAAAATGAAAATCTAAACATCGAAGGAGCTGGATATGGTGGGCCAACTAAATGATCCGAATTCTATTATCAAAAGGAAAAAATCCTTACGGAAGATCCATGGACTGAGTAAAGACTGGTCATTGATATCGATTACGAAAGCTTTAGGGCTGAATCGATTCGAAATCAATGCGCTGATCATTTTAAGGGGAGTCGACTGGAGTTGAAGGAGTTGCTTATCTTGAGTCCGCCAGGTTAGAAACCCAGCTGAGAAAACTGTTGTTACTCAGATAAGAAATGAAATAAAACATTAATGACTAAAGAAAGTGGTCTGATCTATTAAGAGTCAGCAAAATATATTGAGCTCAGTGTAAACATGATATGTGATAACTATAAACCAGTGGGGGGAGCTAAATGAACTAATTTAATGTGATATTTTCTTACTTTTTCAATACTTGTGTAAAATTATGATACAAATAGGTGGTACTTCTTTTTTCTAATTTTATTTTATAATTGGCGTTGAACAGTCGACCTAACCTTGAGCTTACAATTATCAATGCCCAACTCCGTACCCCGATAATTTTAAACCCCACCAAGAAAATAAGGGAACCCCTGGATCAAGCATTGATACAAAAAGCCTTCGTGGAGGATTCTTTGATAGAACTAGCCCATACTTGTGCTATATGGAGTGGAAAAATCACGAAATCCTTGCACGGTTAGCCTAACGGTAAGGGGACTATAACCCATGATCATGATTCGTCTATCACTGAGGATATTTTGCGTCTGCACTGCGGTCGGTGCGAACCGAGTGCGAAATTCTTATCGATCCTCATTTGAACCCTCCTTTGAACTTCAAATGAGGTGAACCTTCATTGATACCCAGCCCGGTTCACCTCATTCTAATGCAAGAGTTCTATTCCCTGTGCCACCACGACTTCCTGTTTTCTTACTTTATTTTATTTTATTTTATTTTATAATCGTCGTTGAACAGCCGATCCAATTTAGGGTTTACGACTACTACCTTGCAACTTTTAACCTCCAGGGGAACTCCTGGATCAAGTATTGGGAGAAATTTGCCTTCGTGGAAAATTTTTGATGGCACTAACCCACATTTGCGTTACACAGAGAGGAAAACCGCGAGATTATCCCACGGTTAACCTGACGACAAGGGGAGTCTAACCCAAGATCCGTTTACCCTTGTGGATATTTTACACCAGCACTGTGGTCGGTTTGAGCTAGGTGCAGAATTCGTGTAGATCAGCCATTGCTGGGATTCGTACAAGGTTCACTCATGACGCTCATGATGAAAAAAATCTATTATGCCGTAATTTTTACAGTAATAATTACCATAAAAGTCACTGAATCACTCTAATTAAGTAGACATTAATGTAAAATCTGCGATATAATATTTTACGGTAAAATGGATTTTGCGGATGATGCTACCCAAAGTTCCGGTACTTTATACCGGAATTTTTTACAGTTTAGTGACGTTTATATATTTTTTTAAAACTCAAACATCATGACTTTGGTAATTGAATGATTTTTACATTCTGAACTTTCAAGTAATTCCTTAGCAGACACTGAAGTCACTTAGATTTATAAATAGAGATGAAATTATCTGATTAAACACAATGAGCAACCATCTCAGTGAAATGCTTTTAAAACGAATTATGGAGCAAAAGCACTTAACTTTTCGCTCATATGGGTTAGGAAGCATATTCTCTCAACAGCTTATTCGCGCAATAATTAATGAACACTAGACATTGCGTGAGTACCTGCAAGACGACCACATCTTACCCTAAATTACCTTAATGAAAAGTGGTTACCTTCATAGCTATGAATCATGCTGTGAATGACAATTGGGCTTAAGAGACAGTTTTTCCTTTTATTAAATAAAGGACCTCCTCTTAGTTGATTTAAATAAAACAAATTTTATTTTCTATATGATTAAAATTAGGGTTTGTTATCGGCAAAAAAATTAAACTTTTCTATTAAATACTTTATTGGTTAACAAACATTGTCATATTAAAATGTATCAGAAAAAATATAATAAAAAAGGAAAAATGTAGTATTACATCTTTTAACATAAAGAAAAACAATTTTACCATAACTGTTTCAAATAAAGATTTTATATAATGACAATATTTTATGTGGATGTATTTTTTTTTTGCATAACATAACAATATTTGCTTTTGATTATGTCATCAAAATTGTAATTTAATCGCAAAATTAGCCTTACTGCAGTTTTTTCAAAATATTAATAAAAACTGAACTAGAAATAATTTTACAAGATTTAATGACAGCTTACATAATTACTTATTTAAAAAATGACGACTAACTTAATGGAAGCAGATGACAATTAAATTAAGCATAGCGGTTTGTACTTTACCAAAGAAACCAATCTTATTAGTTTCAAATAAAATAAATCCACTTTTTTGAAAGATTTAAAATTAGCATACACAAACAGGAAAAATTTAAACTCTCAACCAAATATATTTACTGACGTAGATGTTGAAAACATTCAACGGACCAGAAAAATATAAAATAAAAACAAAATACAAAATGTTACATTTTCAATACAAAGTAAAGATATAACAATAATTAAGCTGTAATAATGCATATATGATTAAAATATATATCATAACAACATAAGTTTGAAATTCTGTTATAAAATAATACAATAAAATATAGTAGCCTTTTGCTTTTCTGGATATTAAATAATGAGAACCTTGCAGGAAATAATACGTGATAAAGATAAAGTGAAAACTTATTAGCTTCTTGTATCACGTATATAAGCTTCGTGTATCTATCACCTTAAGAAATAAGAAACAAATTTGTTTGATTTCTGCACTATAAATTTTACTGTATCTTCACACAAAAAATGATGGTAACTACTTTATACCAAAGGGGGGTTCCACTAACTGTTCCAGTTCACCCAGAATAAGGATAGTTTCTAGAGTAATGAAACAGCTAGAATTTTCTTTTTACACTACTTGGTGTAAAGAAGCCAACACCATGTTCGTTATTCAATTACACTAAAATTTGTAATTATAATATGAAATGATGCACACAAGATTCCGAGATATTTGAACGATACAATATGAAGCAAACTTCATAAATTTGAGATACATGTATAAATTGTTTCTTAAAATTAAAATAGTTTTCTAATCAAACACATACATAACAGAGAGCGAATATTAAGATGAATTCAAACTGGGGTTAACAAAACCAAAGCGGATAGAAATTAAATATTATAAATATTATTTAAAACAGGTAGCTGATATTTAAAAATTAAAATATAATTATCCTTATTATACAACTGAAAACATATTTTAACGGCTTTTTAATAGATAATGTATACCGACGTGGAAGAAAAAAACGCTCTCATGCCTATTCTTAATCGATGTAAACAAACTTTTGGTGATATCTAAACTGCGCCAACGTTGGTATGTTTGGATGTGAAAATAAATCATTTATCTTTATTATACAACTAGGAACATATTTTAATATTTTGAATGGCAAACTTTCGTTTCAGTAGATAATGTATAGCGACGTGGAAGAGAAGAACGTTCTCATGCCAATTATTAATCGATGTAAGCAAATTTTTAGTGATATCTAAACTGCGTCAACATTGGCATTTTTGGATGTGAAAATAAATCATTTATTCTTATACTAAGAGCATATTTTAATATTTTAACGGCAAACTTTTGTTTCAGTAGATAATGTATAGCGACGTGGAAGAAAAGAACGCTCTCATGCCAATTCTTAATCGATGTAAACAAACTTTTGGTGATATCTAAACTGTGCCAACGTTGGTATTTTCAGATGTGAAAATAAATCATTTATAGTGCGAAAGCTCATGAGTATGGTGTAATCGTTTTCCATTTTAGGTGTTTAAGTTTAACTACACCCTTTAAATTGTATGGGATCTATATTTGAGTTTAACTTGAAATGAAATGTCCTTTACATAATTGTTTGGGTTGTTCAACATCAAATTTAAAAAAATATTGCACCACAGTTTTCACAAATTTTTTGAAATCATGATTGATAAGATGAAATCAAATATATTTTAATTGCATTGTTGGCACTGTTTTATCTGCGGAAGCATATTACTAAAACATTTTTTTAGTCACAATTTCTAGGATGATTTAAGTCTTTAAAAAAAACTCATTCCAGATAAAACTTTTTAAAACATTTTTCCTCCCAGGTCGTAAAGAAAGCTTGATTTCAGCACTAAAATGTCCTATACCAGCATTACTTCGCCGAAATGATGATGTCGCATTACCATACAAGGTAAAAATCCAAGTGAAGTTAAACGTAAATGTCTCTTCCTTACGATGCGAGCCTTGTTGCAGTGAAACCAAATAGCGAGACATCACGGATGGAATAGCGGAACTCCAAGGTCATTTAGTCGCGGTAAACGATTTTTTTAAAATATTTTATTTATTTTTTTATTTTCTTGACGCAGTCTTTTCGAGAAGCATATCCGTGCCTTTTTATACTTTGAAACGAGACAATATCCGGCATTATAGAGCTTCTTCAAATTTTGCGAATAAATAGTTTTAAAACATCGGTAGTTTAAGAGATAGTTTTATAGCTTATTGTTTGCTATAATATTATAGAGAATACAGTTTTATAACTTTTCGGATTTTGTCAAAAACGTATAAATTGATTGTTTACAGCCATTGTATTCTGTTGCAAGTTAAGGAAATATTATGTTATCAGACAGTATTATTTAACTTTTTATATCAAATAAATTATCAAGCAGATATATAGAAACATTAGGGGAGGATGATATATCAGTATAATAAAAAAAAATATCAAATTAGCTTTTACATGGTGGAAAAGACTTTGTTTTATTCTGCTTTGTATTTACT